TTATCTTCCCAAACTTGTGGATTATATCATATGGAACAAAATCCGTTCAACATTAAATCTAACTCTACTTGCAGTTGTTAATTTATTCAAAAGAGAGAGATAGAGGGAAAAAAAATGCACATGTACATGAGATAAAAATGATACAATAATTCTTTTGTTTTCTATTGGACAAGGTTACAGGGACCAACAATTTTCTTTTTTTTTTTGCCGTACATACTTGTAGAGCTTGTGTGGGTGTGTGTGTGTAGACACAGTTTTTTTTTTTTTTTTTTTTTTTAAAGGAAGGGAGAAAGGGGAAGGAGGGAGGGAGGGATGAACCTTGGTGTCGAGCATGATGGCACAGAGGATGCCAGTGTTGTCCATGGCGGAACGGAGATTGTCGAGGGTCTCCTGATGGTAGTCGTGGGATTCATGGGAGAAATTGAAGCGGGCGACGTTCATGCCGGCGAGAAGGAGCTTTTCGATCATGGGAACGGAGCGGGAAGCGGGACCCAGAATGCAGACGATCTTGGTTTTAGGCATGCGGTCAGCGGCGGTAACAGCTCCTCCTCCTCCATTGTGGTGGTTATCCATGGTTGGGGTCCGTCCGTCGTCCGTCCCTAAATAGTAATGGTATAAGAGAGGAGTATTGTATTGTATTGTATGAGTTTTCAACGGGAGAGATTCTGATGATGGTGGGTGGTGATCAAATGAGAAAAAGAAGGAAAAATGAAGCAGCAGCAATAGCTATGATAATATAATAACGATAATTGGAAACCGAAATCGCCCCCGCACACACGGCACTGTTAACCGCCGTCTGAAATTGGTGAAATGGAAAGATAGATATTCAAGTGGGGTGATGACGCAGGAGGTAAAAGACAGGGAACGAAGACAGTTAATAGTACGATGGACCACTCGATCCCAGGGATGAAGGAAGGTCAAGGAACCCAACAAACAAACAATTGTCTTCTTGAATTAGCCTGTAGCATTTTTTTAGAAGCTGTCTTTAATTAGTGAATTGAAGTAAATGAAATTAAATGAAGAGTGCGAATATTAATGTCCTTTATCTATTATCTCTTAGCCTAATTTCCCCCACTCCCCCAACTCCTCAAAGGCAACACTTTTCCATCCATCCATCCGCGAATACAGTAGTAATAGCCATGACTATTAAGCAAATTTTAAGATTCTACTTGAACATAGATCAAGTGTTTTCTAAAATATTTTGTCAGCAGATGTATAGACACCAATTTGAATTGATGGTGGTTTAGTTCCGTCGAATTTTCACTTGACCCTTTTAAATCCCCCACTCCCCCAGTATAGAGTGGTTCCCGTCGGTTTCCACTTGATCCTTGTAAATACCTTCTCCCCTAATATAAAGTAGGAATAGCAGTAGAATAAAATGTATTCTACATCACATGGGAGGGAACTCTAAATGTCCCTGCCCCACTCCTCCTGTTGTGTACTAGTGGTTCTTTTATTCCTCCATGATTCCCTAAGCAACATATATTCCAATTCCTTTCTTACTACCCTACTACCAATTATAATACTAATCATCCATCAATCCCATAGAAAGCAGCGGATGATGAGGCTCCCATCAAGAAAATGGGAGAATATATAAGATTAGATGATAAGAAAATTGACACTTAAAGTGCTTCCCCGCACTTCTTTTTTTGCGCATTTTTTTGCGGTCCGAACAGGACCTAAAGTGAGGGTTGCCGAGCGTACATCCATTTGATACTAAATAAGAGACGGCGTCTGGACTCGCACAACACCTTTTTATTAAAATTGATTCGCTTTCCAATTCCTCCTGTTTGATACTAAATAAGAATTTAAGATGGCCGCACCCTGGAAAACAAACACTTGCCCGAGCCCCAGACTGACTGACTACAAGAGACGGAAAAACAGATCCAACCAACATCTCGTCTCCAAGAACCTCATTGGCATAGAACATGAATACGCCCTTTGATCATTAGTTAGCCCTTCAAATGCTTCTACCAATGCAGTTTCATCGCATGATGATTCACCATCCCATTCTAAAAATACCTAAAAATGTAATGTAATCGCCTACTAGTGTATTGATGCACGTGATACTAACTCCTAAAAATATCCCATTCCATAAGTTAAGGATATTAATGCACGTGATACAATCTGAGTCAGCCTAAAGATGTCCACACAAACTCCACAATCATCTGTTTCTCATTCAGATATTGGATTTGTGGACATCATTAGCAACTTAAGATGCACTTGTAAAATTGTCTCGTTTCAACCCCCAATACGAAACTATAATCTTCTTAATGCATCCAATGTTCAAATCATTAACAGTTCCATAACCCAATCTAGAGACATTTTCATCCTGATATTTTTCTTCTAGGTCAATCTTGAAAGACAAGATTGAGACATGGATATACGAAACTGCTACAATATTCAACCTACTCTATTTCCTCCTCCTGTTTATAGCCTCAGTTCATATTCTCAAAATAAAGACCTGTCTAGTTTGAAAAGGAGCTGCATCGCCACCGAAAAAAACAAAAGCCCACTTCAAATCTTTGCTTGGGAATTTGTTTCCCCGGAAACCTGCAATTCAGTGATATCATGTCCCTCCAGACCAACCAAAATAATTATTTCCAAAGAGGAGTAATTACTTCAGATAGGAAGCAAAAGTTCTCGTATCAGCAAAATTTATGAACGTCCAGTATTAGCAAAAATATCATGCAGACGGTTCAGAGTTCATCATGACTTGTTGGTTGTTCCTTGTTCATCATGTCTAGTTTATCTTGTAGTTCCTATCACAATTGACCAAAAAAAAAAAAAGGGTTACCACTTTCTCAAAATTAGCAATATAGCATTAATTAAATGCGAAAAAACTAACGAGAAACAAAACAAATGAAAGGGCACCTTAAGTTTTTCTTCTACACAAAGAGCCGGAGTAGACACCAAAGCCATGTACCTGTTTTAGACTATAAATCAGATACAAGGGCGATGGATTCCAAACAAGGCAAATGGAAAGCACTTCAACAACAGGATAAACAGCTTAAATGAACAATTAAAATAACAGATATTCTTACTCGCAGCGGCTTGGTTCATCCACATCAGTAACTTCATTGTTTAAACCACATCTTAGTTTGACCTGTAAGACAAAGGTAACACAAAATAAAACAAAATGAAGAAAACCATGCAGTTAGCTCAGAAAGATGAACAAACTTTTACATATGCAAGGTTACCAGTCTTGCAGAAGTTGATCATCCCAAGAGAAGTCTATTACAATTACCAACAAAATACTTGCCTTTAAACTTCTATCTGGCCCATTCCAGCATTTATCACCATTTAAAAATTGCATGACCTTGTATGAATCCTCAAACTTTTCCCAACTCCTGCAAAAGTAGTCCAAAAAATGCTAGAGCTGAAAATTTACCCATGATAAAGCATTAGGATAAGACAAAACCGATGGTAGATTCTTTAACTAACATCATGGTAGTGATACCAAATATACCAATGCCATCCTCAATGAGGTCAAAAATACTCGACAAAATCCTCATCTTGTTCAATTTGATTCCCCACAATCTTAACTCAAGTGCTACCATTACAGGGTTTTGACAGTGAAATGAACCTAAGCAGAAAATCCACTCTAAAATTATTGTGATCAAAACTAACCCAGATTTGTAAATCAATAAAATAAATAAATAAATAGAGTATGTCTTTCAAGCTTCGTATGTTTATTTGCTAAATTTCATCTATGTCAAGAGAAGTATCTTCACTTTTTTCTTTTCAAGTCTTATCCATATCAAACAGATATTTTTGTCTTCTTTAAGTTTTATCCATGGTAAGCCACATATTTTCGTCTTGCTTTTGTTGCTGCATAGGGGTGCAAATGACCGAACAACAATCAACTTACATAATCACCAAAGGAGAAATGACTTCCCTCAAAAAACTGCCACAGTCTACATGGAGGTATCAAGACCAAATTCAACGTATTCCTTTGAATCAGTTAAACTGTGAACCTAACAGAATGAGGCTTCCAAGTATATGCATTCATTTACTGTGAAGGACAACATCTAACAGAACAAGAAAGAAACTAGTGACCATCACCACCCGTGTCCATCCGTTTTAATTTGTTTTCTACCAGAATCTCTTAAGTTATGGGTATGGGACTTAAGGAGCAGCATATGGCTATGAGAAATATTCCCTTGTCTCAGTTTAATTTTGGGGGAGCGTGAATTTTATGAATAGTGCAGATAACTAAGCTACTTCTGCTGTTTATATATATCTCTACCCTTCAAAATCTTGGTGGGATATGTTTGCAAGGTCGAACTTCATTTCCTTGGCTGATGAACTTGAGCTCAAAAGATCATGGTTGTATTCAAATAATGCCTCGTTTTATTGATTTGTGCATAAGCTAGTGAATTTAATGCTCATATGCATAATATTTGACTTATTGGGCCTGTACAAGTTTATTTCATTTGACAAAATGGAGGGTAAATTTATAAATGGGCTGAAAAGTTTTGTGCCATTTGAGGTAAGTGACACATATTCTGAGACAAACCAAAAAGAGAAGTCAAAAAGTATCAATGGAATGGAAGAGTACCAAAACCAACTCATTTTTTTTCCTCAAATTGCATCTGATTATTCACAGCTTAAAACTTAGACCTAGTAGGGGCGATCACACCTACTAGGTCTAAGTGGAGGAATGAGAGGATCTTGGGGCTGTTGTAAAGCTGTGAATAGTCTCTATGAACAGTAACGAGGGGGGGTAAGAAGAGCAAATCTAACAAACAAACGACTCCATCTTATTTATCAATTTCCACGTAAAATAACCCAGTAACAAGAGAATTTAACGGCTATAGACTTGAAAGATAGAATTCTATTTCGAATACAATTCCCATTTCCTATTATGAATGTAGAGCTTGCCTATAAGAACCACGACTCCAATCAAATTGTTAGGAGAATATTAGTATTCTTGTAGATAATATATTAGTAAGGGTATTCTTGTAAACAGTCCGTTAGGTTTGTACTCCTATAAATATTAGTTGGTCACTCATAATACGGTGACTAGATGTTTTCCTCCCAAGATACCTCTTTACATGGTATCAGAGCAAGAGTCCTAGGGTTTAGGTTAAACATCTAGCAAAGACTGTTCATCGCGGCACTGTTCATCGCGGCACTGTTCACGGGGCACTGTTCACGCGTACTGTTCACGCGTCTCGAGTTTTGACCCTTTCTTGGGTTTGAAGTGCTATTCGCTATGGCTGAAAGTTTATCAAAAAGTATTGTGACGTCCACTAATATTATGCCAATGGTGATGCCTCAAATCACAAATTGGAAGTTGAATGATACCAATTATCAACAGTGGTCAAAAGCTGTTAAGATTTATCTGACAGGCTTAGGAAAGCAACGTTATCTCACAGATGACTCTCCTACGGAGGATAGCAAGAAACTAATGTGGATTCAAGAGGATGCCCAAATTCTTGGAGCAATATGGAATTCTATGGAGCCACGAATTGCTTACATGTGTTCTCATTGTGAGACAACAAAAGAAGTTTGGGATTATGTCCGGTTATTATATTGCAGTAATCTCTCACGGATGTTTGATATTTCTTTGGAGTATTTTCAGTTGCAACAAGATAACAAGACAGTAACTGAATACTTTGCTGATCTTAAGCGAGTCTCAGAGGAATTAAATGCTGTAATGCCTCTCTCAAGTGATATCAAGGTTATGCAGAGGCAAAGAGAACAAATGCTTGTGCTCAAATTCCTGGCTGGTCTCAAGCCGGAATTTGAACCAATCAAATCTCAAATTTTAGCAGGTGAACAATTACCATCCTTTGCAGAGGCGTATGCTCGGGTCTTACGTTCTGCATCTAAGGACAATGCACAGGGTGATGGTGCTTTAATTAATGACAAATCTGCTTTAATTGCTAACAATAATCGGACAGAGCAACTTAATTTTGGACGTGGCTCTCGTGGAGGAAGAAGTAGAGGTCGTGGGGGTCGTGGAGGTCGAGGCACCCGTGAGTGCAATCATTGTGGTTTAAAGAATCACACTCGTGATACTTGTTGGGATTTAAATGGAAAACCACCTCGGTTTGTTAATACGGTTACCACTGATCAAACTGAATCAAGTTCTTTAGCACAAGGGTCTCAGAAGACTGTTACCATATCTGAGGAAGATTATATCAAATTTCTGCAGTACCAAACTGCAAATCACGCATCTCTTCCCTCTACTTCTGTAGCACAAAAAGGTAATGCTATGGCTTGTCTCTCCACATCATCTAATTTTGACTCATGGATCATTGATTCCGGAACTACTGATCATATGTCAGGTACCTCTAGAAATTTTTCTAATTTTCAAGAGTCTACTTCCTTCCCTCATGTTACTTTAGCTGATGGATCTACAACTAAAGTTAAAGGACTAGGCACTGTAGAAATTAACTCATCTCTTCCGCTGCCTTCTGTTCTTTACGTTCCCAGTTTGCCTTTTAATCTAATGTCCGTTAGTAAGCTTACTAAATCTCTACAGTGTTCAGTTATTTTTTCTCCTGATTTTGTTGTCATTCAGGATTTGAAGACAAAGAGGACGATTGGTGGAGGACATGAGCATAATGGTCTTTACTTTCTCAACTCTAATGGTCCGATTGCGTGCCCTGCTACTGTTTCTCCTCTTGAAATTCACTGTCGTTTGGGTCATCCGTCTCTACAAAATTTGAAGAAGTTGGTCCCTACCTTGAGTCAGTTGTCTTCATTAGAATGTGAGTCTTGTCAATTAGGAAAGCATCATCGTGTTTCTTTTGTCCCTAGGGTCAATAAACGGGTTTCGGAACCCTTTTTGTTAGTTCATTCTGATGTTTGGGGTCCTAGTCGAGTAACTTCAAAGTTAGGTTTTAAATATTTTGTAATCTTTGTTGATGATTTTTCCAGAGTTACATGGCTTTATTTAATGAAAGATCGTTCAGAATTATATTCCATTTTTTGTGCATTTGTTACAGAAATAAAGACTCAATTTGGTGTGCCTGTACGTATACTTCGCAGTGATAATGCGAAAGAATATTTTTCCACTCCTTTTGATACCTTTATGACTAAGTCCGGTATTCTTCATCAGTCCTCTTGTCCTCACACTCCACAACAGAATGGAGTTGCTGAAAGAAAAATTGGACATTTAATCGAAGTTGCTCGGACACTTTTGTTGCACATGAATGTACCCAAACAATTTTGGAGTGATGCAGTTTTAACTGCATGTTATTTAATTAATCGCATGCCATCCGATATTCTTGGAGGCCAACTACCTCACTCCATTCTTTTTCCTCAGGACCCTATATTTAAATTACCTCCTCGTATTTTTGGTTGTGTGTGTTTTGTTCATCAGCTTGCTCCCGGGGTGGATAAATTAGATTCTCGTGCCATTAAGTGTATTTTCTTAGGATACGCACGAGCGCAAAAGGGGTATAGATGTTACAGTCCAGTTTTAAATCGTTTTTTCACTTGTGCTGATGTTACTTTCTTTGAATCCACTCCTTATTTTATGAAGCAAGGTATGTCTTGTGAGTTAGACCAGTGTTCCTCTTTTTCTCCTCCTGTTTTACCAGTCCCTTCATCTTTATTACCTGAGTTATCGGGTTCACCAGATTCCACCACTCGATTATCTCATCCTAATCTTCAAGTTTATTCTCGTCGTTCCATGGTTGAGAAAGCTCCTGATATGCTACGCACTTCACCAATTAACTCTCAATCTTCAGATCCAGGTATGACGCCCTCTTGTGAGTCAGATCTTCCTATTGCTTTACGTAAAGGTAAGAGACATTGTACTTCTCATCCTATTTCTAATTTTGTCTCTTATTCTCGTCTCTCTCTGTCATATTCTTCTTTTGTTGCATCTCTTGATTCGGTATCCATTCCTAAGTCTATTACCCATGCTCTCAATGATCCTGGTTGGAGGTTAGCTATGCAGGAAGAGATGCTTGCTTTGGAGAAAAATGGTACTTGGGATCTTGTCCCTCGTCCTTCAGGTAAGCCTGTTGTTGGTTGTAAATGGGTGTACACTATAAAGGTGCAGCCTAATGGTTCTATTGATAGATTGAAGGCTCGTCTGGTAGCTCGAGGATTTACTCAGGTGTATGGAGTAGACTACTTAGAAACATTTTCTCCTGTTGCAAAGATTACCTCGGTTCGCCTTCTTATCTCTTTGGCAGCAACTTACAATTGGCCATTGCATCAGTTGGATGTGAAAAATGCATTTCTGCATGGAGATTTGGAAGAAGAGGTATATATGGAACAACCTCCTGGATTTGTTGTTCAGGGGGAGAATTCGCAGTTGGTTTGTTGTTTGAAAAAATCCTTATATGGATTGAAACAGTCTCCAAGGGCTTGGTTTGGCCGGTTTAGTAGTGTGGTCATGGAGTTCGGTCTGACGAGATGTGGAGTAGACCACTCTGTATTTTATGGGCATTCTAATGCTGGTAAAATTTTATTAGTTGTTTATGTGGATGATATTGTGATTACAGGTGATGATGTTGTGGGGATCCAGAAACTTAAATCCAATCTGCAGGCAAACTTTCAGACAAAGGATTTAGGTCATTTACAGTATTTTCTGGGTATTGAGGTAGCTCGGTCTAAATATGGGATTTATTTATGTCAAAGGAAATATGTACTCGATATGTTGAGTGAAGTTGGGATGTTAGGTTGCCGACCTGTGGATACTCCTATGGATCCCAATGTGAAATTAGCAAGAGATCAAGGAGCATTACTTGATGATCCTAAGCAATATCGAAAACTTGTGGGTAAGTTAAATTATCTCACTGTAACGAGACCTGACATTTCATTTGCAGTGAGTGTTGTGAGTCAATTTCTTGATACTCCTCGTACTAGTCATTGGGATGCTGTTATACGAATTCTCAGGTATCTTAAGGGTGCTCCTGGAAAAGGGTTGCTATATCAAAATCATGGACACACTGATATTGAAGGATATAGTGATGCAGATTGGGCCGGTTCTGCCTCAGATCGAAGATCGACCACAGGATATTGTGTGTTTGTTGGTGGTAATTTAGTGTCGTGGAAGAGTAAGAAGCAAACAGTTGTCTCCAGATCAAGTGCAGAATCTGAATACCGTGCTATGGCTCACACTGTGTGTGAGTTGGTTTGGTTGAAAAGCATGTTAGTTGAAATTGGGTTTGAGTATAAACAGCCTATGAATTTAGTGTGTGATAATCAGGCGGCTGTCCATATTGCGTCTAATCCAGTGTTTCATGAAAGGACAAAACATATTGAAGTTGATTGTCATTTCATTCGAGAGAAATTACTTGATGGAATCATCAAGACATCTCATGTACCGTCTGCAGATCAATTGGCTGATTTGTTTACCAAGAGTTTAGGGGGCTCTAGGGTGAAATACCTTTGTAACAAGTTGGGTGCTTATGATATATATGCTCCAACTTGAGGGGGAGTGTTAGGAGAATATTAGTATTCTTGTAGATAATATATTAGTAAGGGTATTCTTGTAAACAGTCCGTTAGGTTTGTACTCCTATAAATATTAGTTGGTCACTCATAATACGGTGACTAGATGTTTTCCTCCCAAGATACCTCTTTACACAAATCACTCAATAAAACTGGACAACAAGATTATTGAGACTTTCTTGTATACAAGTAAAGGACCAAAATATCCCAAGACCTAAAACTCTTAAATACTAAAACTCCAAGGACAAGTTTCCAACAAGAATAATACTTAATTAACATGTCACCTGCCAATAGGTTGTAATCGTCGAAGGGTGCCTAATTAAATCTAGGTAAAATTCATGAAAATCTTTGCTTTAGATTTTCCTTAGCTCCTAGTTGACTGTATAAATTATCTGGAATAGATATTATGAGAAGTTTTCTGCTGCTTCGCCACATATGTCTTTTTGTTACATCCTCTACAAGAGGAAACAGACACCACCTAAAAATGGGAGTTACATTTATAGAACATTAATGCTACATTCCCCATTTTGAATATTCAGAGGGCTTTTGAAGCCCAGATTCCTAAAGAACCAAATAAGGCACAGCAGGATTTGATATGTAATTCGTGACATGAGATGCATATCATTCCACACAAAAACGATAGTAAAAAAATAAATCAATAAAAAACAAATAAAAACTCAGCCCATTTACTAACAGACAACAGTAGTAACTATTCATCACGCAAACTTTCTAATGGGTAGAAAGATGGGCTAGACCAAATGAGCCTCTGAAGTATGTATGTTCTAAGATAACATTCTACAAGATAAACTTCAACAACTCCTCGGTCCATTTACTTATAACACAACTTAAGAGCCATCTGCAACCAATGTAATTAATGTCGTCATCCAGTTTAGTCAAAATGTTCTGCCAACAGCTTCAATAAGAGATTACCATCCTAAATATGGCACATTCACCAAACATGTACACACAGAGAGAAGGATAATCATTGACTGACTGAGTGAGAGACTGTATGAAAGTTCTACATATGGGAAAATAATTACCCCAAACGAGTTGTGCTGTGACCCTCCACCTGTGATGCTTGTTTAAAAGGGCAGATTTTGTAGACGTACCTAAAGCCATATGTTATCGAAGCCCAAAAGTTAGAATAGAGTGACATGAGTTAAGCTAAGAAGTAAAAAAGAAGATTACTTGTTTTGCTTGTTCTCAAAACATTGACCATAAAATGAATAGAACTCTTTCTCTGGCCCTGCAAAAAAGAATTCAAAAGTCAGCCCCTTCGACAATGAATGCACATACACCTCTCTTACGAAGATGAAATAATTGACAGCAAAGTAACGTGTTTTGTTAGCACTACAAGAAAGCAAACATTAACCCGTATTTGGAATTTTTATAGCAGACCTACCAAAATCATGTTTTAGCTTTTGCTTCAAACTTGATATCCTTGACTGTAATTTAGAGAGCTTTGCACTAGATTCATCATATTCTTTGCGAACACGTGCAGCCTCTGTAAAGCAAAATACAGCAATATAGTTTCCATTTCCTTTATCCACAAGAGTACAAAAAATGCAAAAAGAGCACAACTTACCAGATTTGTCAACTGGAGTTTGAAAAAAGGTAACAGCCTGAAAAATTCTACGTACAGACTTTTGTATCTTCTCCAACCATGATGGTTCTGCTGTAATTTTCAATCAGGTTTGAGTTAATGTAACCTATATAAGGTAACTCTAGTGCCAGCTGCAATTAGAAACATAACTGACATATTTTACTTGCTAAGTGAAAAATGAAAGGAGTATCTATAAACCTGGTAAGTCCGGTTCATCATCTGTCTCAGATTTATATGAAGGGCTTGAATCATCATGATCCTCACCCCCAAAATCATCCATCTGGTCTTCATTATCACCATCATCATTATCATACCTATGATCATCCTCCTCTGAATCATAACTGCTGTATTCTTCTCCATAAGCATCCTCCTCTTCTGTTCCATGATTTTTATCTTTAGTAGAACTAACCTCTTCAGTTTGCTGCTCAGTCTTTTCTCCTGTCCAACGAGAGGCAACAAGACGACCTAACTCTTCCTTAGATAATGATTCGCTATTGTCCTCTTCTACTTCTGCCTGAAATTTGCACACACAGTTCAAATCTGCTGCTTGTACACACAAGTTACACAAGGTACCAAATTCACAACGATGTCAACTTCAATACTCAAAAATCACGAAGTCATCAAGTTCAAAACTACAACTGGAATGTACCATATTCACAACCTCTCATCTGTTTGGGATGTTATAATTGCTTCAGTTCATCATCTAATGCTTTACCGAAAGCTTTTCTTTTACCTTTAGTCAGGGAAAATGTTGTTATTGATACAAACTGCAAAGCATAAGGCTGAGTCAAGTAATTAGTACTTTTAGGCAGTAGAATTAGAATTTCTACAAGTCTACATAAGCTCAAGTTGCACTTCTGAGTAATGCATGTTTAAAAGGTTCTCTCTAGATTATATGCTTTGTGTAGAACCATGTGATTAATGTGTAATGCCCGATTCCTAAAGTTCATAACAATTTCACCTTGATTCCATTACCCTAAAGCACCTAAATAACAGCCCCACGTAACCCTAATTCTACTGTTTAAGAAATTATAGACAAGCTGCAAAAAGTTCCCTCATTGTGTTCCTTAGTCTTCACCCATTTTGGCAAACTTATCCACATACAAGGCCTGAAATATGCACAAGTTTCTTCCAAGAAAACCACTCAGGTTTGCCACATCAGTCAGGTAGTAGAGCTGTAGACATGCCATAAACATGGGCTTTCCAAGTACTAACAGTGTCCAAAATTGTATTTAATTCAGCAGTTGCCTCAATCACTTGTTGGTTAAATTGATTGTCATAATTTGTCAGATGTTACACAATCAGATTTGCATAGATAAATCCAATTATGCTGGCTAAAACCGGTGGCTTCTTTGGAAGGAGATACAAGAAGGGCAAAATGATCTATCAATACTTGGAAAGAGATGAAAGAAAAGTTTCTGCAGAAGTATCTCCCTTCATATTACTATGACAAGCTAGTGGATCATCTTCATGGTCTAGAACAAGGAAATCTACCAGCTGAAGGCTATCTGTTGAGGTTTAACAAACAGGATTTGCAAAATCAAGTCGTTCAAGAACATTATCAAAAGATTAATCTGGACATGATCCTGAGACTAAATTGTAGTGTAGTTGCTAATCCTGAGCGTTTTTAAGCGAGTGAGTTTTTTGGGTGTTTGTCTAAAACTTTGCTGTAATTTACTGTAGAAGTTTTTTAAAAAATTTTTGAAGTGTGTAAATTTTTTAATATTTTGAAGTGTATAGTTTAAAATCTTTGAGAAGTTTTTTAAGGTTACTGTAGCTAGAGTCTTTAAAAAACTTGTAGCAGACAAACTTGGCAAAAAACTCAAGTGCCAAACAAGGCCTAAATTCTTTAAGAGTACCAAATGTTAGAATTAAAGCCAATGAAAGGGTAAATATGTGGCCAGCTCCATTTTTACAGGTTTTCCAACAAGGACCATCAAGTTTAAATATTATCAACATTGAAGAATGTCATAATGCTATGCTTCAGTTTGCAGCAAGAGGAGGATCAAAAATTGTGCAAGAACACAATCTACTAATTCCTCTTACAACAAGCAAAAACTCTGAA